ATCCACGGCCTTTTGGGTCCGTGGCCCGGCGCTGGCCTCCCTCTGAGCGTGGCCGCCTCTGCGCGGGGACTGCCCAGCCGCACGCTCTCATTCATCCACCGGGAGGGGAGGGCCAGGGCGCTGGCAGCTTCTGGGGCGCCCCTCCCCCCTCTGAGTCAGGGCTGCTTCGCAGCCAAGAGGAGACACATGTTCTGATGGCTTTGTCTTCTCGGATTACAGGGACGCTCAGCTGCGTGACTCAGTGCAGCAGCTCGTGGGCTTTCTGTGGGGTGTTTCCATCGTGGCTGCCGTCGCCATGGCGCCTAGTTCCTTGCGGGGCGGGGGCGGGCCCTGCGCGGATGGCGAGCCTCTGCCTCCCCAAAGGCCCCTCGGTGCTTGGGGGGGCTCTCCCCCTCGAAGACCCGCAGTGGGTAACCCCGCCCCCCAGCCTCCATTTCCGGGTCTGGCTTCCTGGAAAGGAGGTGGGATGTCCCTTTGACTTCGGACCGTGCCCCCACCCGGGGCCCTGCATGGCCGCGGTGTGTGGGGCCAGCTGGGTCACGAGCTGGCCCTGGTGGATGCTGCCCTTGAGGAAACCCCAGAGATGTCCTCTGAACGCCCCACCTGGGGTGCCCAGGGGAGGTGGGGAACGTGGGCCAGGACCCAGCTAAGCCGATCTGGTCTGCTCTGGCACACGGGCTTTTCTGAACAAACGAGCTTTTAAAAATAAAAGCCCCCCACCCCACTCTCGGGGAGTCTGCTAACGAGGCCAGTACCCGGGGGCCGTAAGGACACACTCTCCAGCCTAGAAACCCAGAAACGTCTGGAGGGGCCTCAGGCTCCCAGCCAGAAGACCCAGGGGACCTGGTGACCCGGTTTCACTGTGACCCTGGGACTGGACCATTAAGAGCAAGTGGGGCCTGGCTTTATCCAGACCCGGGACAGGCAGCACCCTTACGGTGGGCCCGGGGCATGGGCTCCCAGGCTACCAGCCCTGCACCCTCCAGGCTTTGTGCCACTTGGGGAGGTGGGTGGCGGGCAAGAGGAGGCTAGTGGGGTGCTCTCCCAGGGCTTCACTGGGGGGTCCTGGCTGAGAGTGAACTGCAAGGCTCCCAGTTCCCACGTGGTCAGCAGCCTGGGTCAACCCAGCACGGTCAGCACCGGGCACTGCCTTGTGGAGGGATGCATGCTTCGCAGGGCAGGGGCAGCCTTACCACACTTGCTCCATCGGGCCGGGAAGACACAGACACACACAACCCCGACCCCAGCAGAGAGTTCTGAGCAGGAGCAGCCCCTGTGGGGTGTCTGCTGCATGATCAGAGGAGCCCCGCACCAGGGAGGAG